TTGTCCATTTTTAATTTCTGTAGCAAAGGGAAGTGAGGAGCAGGGACAGTGAGTAGAGAAGGGCATTTGAAACCATCTGAAGATTGGGTTCTAGTCTTAGGGCTATAAACTTGTGCAAACCACTTCACCTCCCTGGGTCAGATTTTTCCCCCTTTGTAGCATGAAGGAATTGATTGAAGTGATCTCCAAATTATATTCTGGTGTAAAGTTTGGTGATTTCTACATTGTGTTACAATTCCCTGGATAACCTTAAAGCTATCTATGCTGATGCAACTGAAAATTCTCTTAGATAAAATTTTTATTAGTTCAATAGTAGTCAATAATCACAAATCTGGTCCATTGCCGCTTTCTCAAATAAAGGGCAAACATCCACTAGAAAGGTATGCCCTTCTCTGCCCTTAAATCCTTTACCGAATTAGCTGGCACATAAACCTAATGTAGACACACCTTTTAATAAGCAGGTCATGTGGACATTTAAATGCGAGTTGCAATCGACTTCATAAAAATAGCCACAGTTTTGTTCTTTCCTGAATTGTCATATGATTATGGCGTATAGTATGTATGTGGTGTGGAGTTTAATAGTCGTCCTGAGGATGCTCTCCTACTACTTACTATTGAACATTTTTGTCATCTGCTCCCAGCCCGAGTTGCTCACAAGGGCTTTCCTTTTACACCTGCGGGGCTGTCTGTACTCGTGTGAGAGGAGGTGCAGGAGGTGGACACACGAGCGAGGCACTGGGTTGTTCCGAGAGGCTCAGGCCTTTACAAGCGAGGCTTTGATTCTATTTTTTGCTGAACTGGCTCAGCCACTTCCTGTGTTTGGCTGTGCATAGTGCCTCGCTTCACTGTCGGCTGCTTGAGCCCCGCGAGCCAGCCAGCGCGCTGAGCAGCCAGTGAGACTATTTTAGGTCCCCTCACAATGGCCTTCTCATTTCCCAGGCGAAAATGAGCAAGTTGGGCTTGCATTGGCCACTTGTCAGCCGATGACAAGTTTGACTGGGGCTCCCCTCCCCCTCCCGAAATTCCTAGCTCAGCAAATATTTGAACCTGCCCAAGTTAATCATGAAGCTGCGATCTTTATCTAAGGGAGACGTGCGAGCGCCTGGGCTCCTTTCCTCCCCAGTACAGTAGCGAAATCCAGTTGGCTTCTCAATGAGGAGCCGGCAGTGAGCAGCAGTGGCCCGGACAGACACGCTGCCGGGCGGGGCGTGGGGTGGAGGGACGAGCCCAACAGCGGAGCTGGGCCACTGTGTGCTCCTGGAGGGTCCTAGCGGCGCCTCCACTCCTGCGCGCACTCACAGGCACCGGGCACGAGCACTGGCCGCAGGGAGCCGGCTGGGGGGGAGGTGCGGGGGCTCGGCCCACTTGGTGGAAGAACAGCTTTGGGGATTTTTTTTTTTTTTCACTGTCGGATACAGGCATTTCAAAGGGAAATCGTTGAAATGCATAACCTGCAAAGTAAGTTGCTTTGAATTTGTGCACTTCTCTGTTCCTTGCCTGTGGTTTATCTGAGCGGTCCCTTTCTGTAGTTTGTCTTGGAGTGTGTGTGCCTGCGTGCGCCCCTGTAAGCGCTGCCTGGGGAGGACAGATGGGAGATTATGGGAGACACTCCCCCCGTCCTCGAGGGGGCAGTGGGAGGGAAAGATAGGGTTTAGGTTGGAAGTTCAGGAAGAAAGTACTAATTACAAAGTGCTTGGTTGGAGTTGATGCCAGGCCAGGGCTTGGAGAGACCATGGAAAATCACCTGTCTCCCTGCCTTCTCCCTGGGTTAGTTATCCACAGGAGATCCAGCAGCCAGACTGGTTCGCACCAAGGGTTCCCAAATGCACAGACTGGCCCTCTGGGCTGTTAACACCGGCCACAGCTGCTCAGAGAACTTGTCTCCTTGCTTTGGGGGAGGGTTGACATTTTTATTAAACTAAAAAAGAATTTTTTTCTGAATCTTATCTGAGGGCATACCACCACTTTTACCATTTTTATTTGAATTCGAATTCAGGTTTATCTAAACTTAGGCAAATGGAAAAGTGTGTGGAAGAGGGTAGGAGGGGACAAGGTGAGCCTGCTTTTCCCAATAATGGGAAAATGAATTAGACTAGACAGGCGATGTCAGAGAACAGAATGCCTTGCCTTTGGTCTGCTTTTTAAATATACTTTATGATCCCAAATTTTACAGAAAGTCTAAATCTCAAAGGTTTCTATGTTTTTTTAAACGGTCACACAAATATGTGACATACACCATGTACATAGATCACAGAGCCCACTATAGTTTTTTAAATGAGCCACATTTACGTGGGAGAAGAGGAGTTTCCCCCCCATTATAATATTGTGAATGTAAAGAGATTAGTTCACAGTGAGAATGTACAGTAGGCTCCCGTAAGGGTGACAGGATTTTATGCAGAATGACTTTGAAAACCAAAATTGATCATTAGATTCATAAAAAAATTGATTTCCTTATATTAAGTAGTGCTAAGAAGCATTATTTGTCCCCAGAGCGAGGCATTTGAGATAGAGGGGAAAAAGCAAAAAAAAAAAAAAAAAAAAAAAAAAAGTGATTACATCATCCTCCCCTTCCAGCAGTATTAGGATTGAAGATGGGTTCATCAGTGAAATATTTTGCATAGATAAATATACCTCTACTCTGCATTCTGATCTGTAGCCCCCTTCTTTTTAGAAGAAGCATTTTCTTTGCCCAGTTTTGTTAGGGAGTCACATTAAAATTCTCATAATGTTGACAATTTATTATTTCTACTAATAGGCATCTGCATTCCTATGTCAAATTTCATTGTTTCTATAAAGTCTAGTTTTAACTTTGGAATGTTTGGTAGAGGAGGACATTGTGTCTCTACATTTTCTTTTAACTGTCCTTTCTAATGTGGTACATTTGTGACAGTGTTAAATTCTGGGTTTTCAGTGAATTATGGAGGACTGAAATTAAATGCCAGGAGTAGTTTGTTCTGCTTTTATTATATATGAGAGATATCTAAGGACTATAAAACACAGCTTAAGTATACCCTTTTGATACCTTTTAAGGTTTTTAAACCAAGGAATGACTGGGCTATATACCCAGATGCACTAGGAGGGGGAGAAAAAGCTCGGAGCTGCAGCATATCAGCTTTTGTCAACCTGCCAGCAGCAGAGCGTACCATGCTGCAAGGAGTAATAAACAAGGAATTAGAGAACTCGCTGCTGGAGGAGAACAGTCAAATTAAACACCTTTTTGAAAGGATGAGCATGTATATATTGCAGTTCTGTTAAATGTAGCTTCTCAGGAAGGTTGGGATTATGTTAAGGCTGGTATAGAAGAGAACTGATGAAGCAGGAGTGGTCTGGTGACATTTTTCTGACTTGATTGGCTGGGGCGTGTGATGTAATAGGTTTCAGTGCAGCCTCTTATAGGTTTTAAAATGAATTCCAAGACACCATTACAAAGAAAGCCGGACTCTTTTCTTATAACTGAGCTCAGCCAAGGAAACTCTTGCACAAATGTACAATACTGTTTGGAATATGGAAGACCTGGATTTAGAATATGCCAAGACAGATATAAATTGTGGCACAGACTTGATGTTTTATATAGAAATGGATCCACCAGGTAATATTGCGGCATTATTGTAGAGAGCTAGTTAATTTCGTGGCTTTTTAATTTTTTGAAAGCTACTGTAAAATATCCTTTTTAGATTTCTGTTTTTATTAATTTATCTCATTGATAAAAATTAGTTTGTTCATGGCTTAAAAATTAGATTGTTTGACTGCCTGTGGAAGCAAGCAGCTCAGGCTGTGTGTGATAAATGCTTATTCTTACTTGAACGGATATGAATTGAACTCCAGTTTTTCACTGGTGTCTTTTGTTAATCAAGATCCTTCCCTGGATGAGTTATATTGTGGTATATTGTCCCTGTAATTAAAACGATGCCTCCTTTGTGCTGCTTTTCTCTGTTGCCAGTGGATGAGAACAGTGTGGCACTTTGCAGTGATAACACTTGGTACTTTAGAAAGCATGTAAAATGTAGCAGTGATTACAACTCAGTTCTCTAGATGTTGAGACGTTGCTTGCTCTCTCTTATATTAAGATATTATAATGAAAAAAGAAGTTGACTTTCCATTATTGAGTGTTGGTCTTTGTAAAATATTCTTGGTAGATACCTGAAATCATTTTTGCATAAGTTAAAATAGTAACAGTGCTTTAAAACTTATGACAGGATTTATCTAAAAATCCTAGATTTATATTTTTTCCTAAGTTGTTTTATTCCAATGTTAGCTCTCCCCCCATTTAAGATATTCAGGAATATTGCAGTCTTTTATTTGTCACCAATTTGTATATATGAATACTGATTTGACATTGAGGAAGGGGGATATGATTTTTAATCAGACCTGGCATATAGAGCATAATTTATCCAACAGAATATTAACATGAATACTAAAGAGATTTAGGGCACATATGAGTTTCTTAAAGTGGCTTTTTGCAGAACAGTGCCTGAAATACTAAGATTAGAGAAACCCACTTCCTCCTCTTAAAACATAGTGCTGTAGATGAGCCTTTTTATTACTGCAACAGCATTTGTGGAGGACATAGACCAAATTTGTCTTTCATAATTAAATAAGAGGATATTAAAGCCAAGTCATGTTATTCCTGCTACTCATATGTTCATAGTTTCTTTGGATGGATTTGACCAGGCATGACACTTTAATATGTCTAGAATCTAGAAGTACCAAATGTCATGACTCTGGATCTACTTTGAAATTTATTCACATGGCCAGCCCAATTTATTTGTTAGTTTCTAAGGCGCTCTCTCTTCTCCTTTTCAGTTTCGTTTCTTTTTGAGCTGTGCTCTGAAAGTTTTTTTTTAAGAAAAGTATCTTCCATGTTGCATGGAATTGTGAATTAATGCTATATATTTCAGTTACTGTAATTTTTCTTTTTTTTAAAGTAAAAGTATTCATCTAAAGAAATTTAGTTCTAACGTAGTTGGGATTGCAAACAACTTTTTCTTTTTCATCTGCAGCACTGCCTCCTAAACCACCAAAACCCACTACTGTAACCAACAACGGTATGAATAACAATATGTCCTTACAAGATGCTGAATGGTACTGGGGAGATATCTCAAGGTAAGCCTACAGAAACTTCGTTTTCACTAGATACAGAGAGTTTTAGATTAAGAGAAAGAAAAGCACCAGCTTGCTAAGTTCCATTTTTAGGATGTCATCCAATGTAAGCATGAAGCATAGTTGGTTCTCTTCCAAAGACGACCAGAAAAAGTCACTGAGCACTGGAGGACTGTGGGTGCTGGATGCCACAGGAAATTAAATACCCGGGAAGTTTCATTATTGACAGAGATGTCAGTGAAGCACCAGGGTGAAGTGGCACTGCCTAAGAACAGAGTGTGAAGGCACTCTCTCTATTAAGCACAACTCTGAGAATTCTTGTCTTAAACACAGTAAGAAAACAATGCCATTTTATGTCAGCTTTGAGAAGGGGGAGTAAGGCTGGAGAAACCTTTTTGAGATCATGAGTTTCTGTGCTAATTTGTCAGATTGTAATGTTGGCTTGAAAAAATAAAAACTTAGTTCCACAGATAAACCAATAGTGAAAGTGATATGCACCTGTTTGTAATGAGTGCAATTGCTAACATTTCTATTTAAACAAATTATTAGTAAGCTCTTATTACTAAGCCCTGAAAATGCAATTATTTAAGTCTATGTGGGCAAGAGGAATATGGGCACTCACTGTACTTTCCACTTATTTTGCTGTCAACCTAAAACTGCTCTAAAAAATAGTCTGTTTAAACCTATAGTCACTAAACCTCAGGGTGAGCATTGTCCTGCATTTTTATTTCAGGGAAGAAGTGAATGAAAAACTTCGAGATACAGCAGATGGGACCTTTTTGGTACGAGATGCGTCTACTAAAATGCATGGCGATTATACTCTTACACTAAGGTAAGCCAGGAAATAGAGCTGAAATTAGGGTGTTTGGGCTGATGTTAAAACATATTTTTTTATTAGAAAATGTTAATACATTTATTTTTATATTGTTTTTACAGGAAAGGGGGAAATAACAAATTAATCAAAATATTTCATCGAGATGGAAAATATGGCTTCTCTGACCCATTAACCTTCAATTCTGTGGTTGAACTAATAAACCACTACCGGAATGAATCTCTAGCTCAGTATAATCCCAAATTGGATGTGAAATTGCTTTATCCAGTATCCAAATACCAACAGGTAATAAAAACTGAATTATCCAGTTATGATGTTTAGACAAGATACTTTCAATGCTTAGAGAACATTTGAAAAAGATGAATTACATATAATCAAGTCTAAAAAACTTTATACTTATGATCACATAATTGCAGTTTTAAAGATGCTTCCATGTCAGGTATTTTGTTAAACAATTCTTAAGTACCTTATCTATTGAATTTATTTTTTCCCTCTGATTTTTAATCTTTCTAGGATCAAGTTGTCAAAGAAGATAATATTGAAGCTGTAGGGAAAAAATTACATGAATATAACACTCAGTTTCAAGAAAAAAGTCGGGAATATGATAGGTTATATGAAGAATATACCCGTACATCCCAGGTGAGTTTTCTGTGAAAATCAGATTAAAAGTTTAGAACTCTTAGTTTTTAAAAGACTAACATGGAAAAAAGAATTTAAAAGATTGAGAGTTTTTATGAATGCAGTGGGGGCAAGATCATTTATTTCTGAATCATTGTTGATTATTTTAGCATAATATATATAGCTGAACCTTTTAACCAAAAATTGTAAGTATCAGAATAATTAAGTTCACATGATAACCGAAGCAGTCACTGAGTTTCAAGTTGATTTAGTTACTGATAGAAGGATCCTGTTTAGATTGGAAGTTAGTAATAACTGGAAGTTTCACATACTTCTCTAATCCCTGAAATGGAGATTTAGCAATTAACATATATCCCGCCATGAAAAGGAGGGGCTACATTTACTGCCATATTTTTCTAGACCATTACTCTTTGCTGATCATTCGTGTATCTGGAAATGCCAGTGGGAGTAGAGGACAACAGGGATGCTATAAACTACAGTAGCTTTTAAGAAGACAAAAACTGGAGGAAATTGCCAAGAAATCATTCTTCATAGATTGAGAAAATTCTCCAGAGGAAATATTTGTTTCTGGGATACTATTTTAATGGGTTTTATGAATTCAAGTCCCATCCTGCTAATAATACAGATCAAATGTCCTGGTAGTGTCTTGCAGTAAGAAATTATTCTATGAATGGTGTGACATTATCTTTTTAAAATTATGTTGCAGGAAATCCAAATGAAAAGGACAGCTATTGAAGCATTTAATGAAACCATAAAAATATTTGAAGAGCAGTGCCAGACCCAAGAGCGGTACAGCAAAGAATACATAGAAAAGTTTAAACGTGAAGGGAATGAGAAAGAAATACAAAGGTGAACCATGAGTGTTTCCCTTGTTCTTGAGCTAGAGATAACCAAAATCCTCTAAAACCATTTAAAGATGATCTTGCTTTCTGTGCTTTGAATGATTTAAAAATGACAGGAAGAGAAGCCACGCTTCACCTAAGGAAAACTGCTGGGAAATCATAGTGAAACTTTTTATCAACTTTGGGGACCGTTCATGATGTACCCAGGTAATAACAAATGCATTTCTCTTGCCTGCAGGATTATGCATAATTATGATAAGTTGAAGTCTCGAATCAGTGAAATTATTGACAGTAGAAGAAGATTGGAAGAAGACTTGAAGAAGCAGGCGGCTGAGTATAGAGAAATTGACAAACGTATGAACAGCATTAAACCAGACCTTATCCAGCTGAGAAAGACAAGAGACCAATACTTGATGTAAGTACTTGAAATGGAACCCTATACATGAACAATTGGTGATTGTTACAGTTCAGGATGAGCTAATGCGTTTTCTTTTTAAAACTGTTTTTCAGGTGGTTAACTCAAAAAGGTGTTCGGCAAAAGAAGTTAAATGAGTGGCTGGGCAATGAAAACACTGAAGAGTAAGTAGTTACTAAAGATGTGATAGCAGAAGATTTTTCTCATTTTAGGAAAATGCATGACTTGCTTTGTTTTTAGAACAAGTGAGGAATTTTACTGAGTTTGGAACATCTTGTAGGAGAAAATGTATAAACTCAGTGCCATTATCCAGAATTTTAAAAAAAGAAAGCTTAGCTAAGGAGGACTAGGATTTATTTTTACTCATAATGCTGTGAAACAACTCTGTGTCTGTAATGATGTCCATGAACATCTGAAAAATCCCAAGATATTTTTGGAACAATCAGAGACAAAATAATTATGCTTTATGCTTAATATATTTTAAAGCTTAAGTATATACAGTGTTTGAATTATTCAAAAACTGGCAATCTTCCTAGTCAATTTCCTGATCTAAACTGGATCAACAAGATTGTTTTAATACCTTTCACTCTGTCCAGGTACCTGAGTGTGGTTGCTTGAAAACAGAAATAGTACAACTGATTGCTAACTCTTTGTCCTGGGAGGTTGCGCTGGAGGCTGAATACCAGGAGAGGAAAATTCAGGGCAGGCATGTGATGGCCAGTCTGACTGGCTTTGTAGGGGACGGACAGGAGCCAGGAGGGAATTGAGGGAGGTATGCCTAGGGAAGGCAGCAAGGCAGACTGATGGCTCCTGCTCTTGATTTAGAAACTTTCTCTCCTGTTTGCCTAGCCAATATTCATTGGTGGAAGATGATGAAGATTTGCCCCATCATGATGAGAAGACGTGGAATGTCGGAAGCAGCAACAGAAACAAAGCTGAAAACCTGTTGCGAGGGAAGCGAGATGGCACTTTTCTTGTCCGGGAGAGCAGTAAACAGGGCTGCTACGCCTGCTCTGTAGTGTATGTATCTCCAGCAAACTTTTCTTTACAACAGCTTGTGAAGAGATGTTTCATTCGCTCATTGAGTTTTGGAGGCAAAGATTGGAAATAGTTTTAGTCTTGACTAAGCTTACAGTACATAATGTAGAAGAGCAAATAAAGCAAACATGCCATTTTAAAGTCTAGCCAGAAGTAGATGTTAATACAGTGTAATAGAAACCTGTCTAGTTGGAAGACGAGGGTTTGGATTCCAATTCAGTGCTAATTAATCATGAGAAGTTGCTAAGTCTTTTTCTCCTCTTTAAAATGGAAGTGGCAATGCCTGCCTTTTTTGCCTCTCAGGGCTATAATAGTTAGAATCTGAGGTAATTTACATTGAGAACATAACCCACAGGAAAAATACTCATCAGGAACAGGTCAAAAAGAGAAGATTCTGATCATTATCCTTGAGCTGTGTACACACACATTGGATCATTGACATCACCATTTCTGAGAAGTAAATGTCCTCTCATAGGGAATGGTTCTAAAAGTATGTTATACTCCATGATCACCTTTCATTGAATGAGAGAAATATTCCTACAGCAAAGAAGGCTACTTTGGTCCTTACTTTGCGCAAGGGCACATGCAGAGATGGAGAGTTGTACAGCCAGAAGGAAGGAATCCTACGAATAATCATTAGGGAGTAATAGTAATACTGCTTGTCATGGAGCAGTGCCGATAGTTGTCCTCATAATGGCTGGAAGCTACCATTTGTTGCATGCTTACTGCATGCCAGACCGTCTCTCAAGCATATTGCAGGCATGGTCTCCTTTCTCAAAGTAACTGTATTACATTTTACTATTGTCGTCCCTTTAAACCATTAAAAAAATGAAAATACAGTAGGTCAGTGAAGCTGGGTTACCTACCCAAGGTACTCGGCCAAATGTCTGCAGTGTGACAGGGCCAAGAGTCTACAGTAACCTAGGACCCTTTCACCAAGTTGAGGCTGGCCTGCATAGAGTAGTACTGCACAGTGATGCATTTTATTAAAAACGCCCTGTAGAGTTGTGAATTGCCTTGGACAAGCTCAAAAGACAGTTTTTCCTTCTCTCCTCTCTAGGGTGGATGGCGAAGTAAAGCATTGTGTCATAAACAAAACAGCGACTGGCTATGGCTTTGCCGAGCCCTATAACTTGTACAGCTCTCTGAAAGAACTGGTGCTACATTACCAACACACCTCCCTTGTTCAGCACAACGACTCCCTCAACGTCACACTAGCCTACCCAGTATATGCACAGCAGAGGCGATGAAGCGCTTACTCTCTGATCCTTCTCCTGAAGTTCAGCCACCCTGAGGCCTCTGGAAAGCAAAGGGCTCCTCTCCAGTCTGATCTGTGAATTGAGCTGCAGAAACGAAGCCATCTATCTGCAGATGGGACTAGAGCTTTCTTTCACAAAAAAAGAAGTAGGGGAAGACATGCAGCCTAGGGCTGTGTGATGACCACACGTTTCTAAGCTGGAGTGCTTATCCTTTCTTTCTTTTTCTTTTTTTTCTTTGGTTTAATTTAAAGCCACAACCACAAAGAGAAAAAGAAATGCAAAAATCTCTGCCTGCAGGGACAAAGAGGCCTTTAACCATGGTGCTTGTTAATGCTTTCTGAAGCTTTACCAGCTGAAAGTTGGGACACGGGAGACCAGAGGAGAGAGAGGCAGAAGAACCCTGGCCTGAGATAGTTCAGTCCAGCCTGGTTTAGCCTGGATGTTGCTGTGCACGGTGGAGCCAGACACGTCGCACTGTGGATTATTTCATTTTCTAACAAATGAATGATATGTAGCAGAAAGGCACTTCCACTCGCAAGGGACACTTTGGGAGAATGTCAGTTCACGTATGTTCAGAAGAAATTGTGTCATAGAAAGTGCCAGAAAGTGTTTAAACTTGTCAAAAAAACAAAAACCCAGCAACAGAAAGATGGAGTTTGGAAAAGACTTAAAATGACATTCAGTATATAAAATATGTACATAATATTGGATGACTAACTATCAAATAGATGGATTTGTATCAATACCAAATAGCTTCTGTTTTGTTTTGCTGAAGGCTAAATTCACAGTGCTATGCAATTCTTAATTTTCATTAAGTTGTTATTTCAGTTTTAAATGTACCTACCTTCAGAATAAGCTTCCCCACCCCAGTTTTTGTTGCTTGAAAATATTGTCCCGGATATTTTTGTTAATATTCATTTTTGTTATCCTTTTTTTAAAAGAAGTGTACAGGATGCCAGTAAAAAAAAAAAAAAAATGGCTTCAGAATTAAAACTATGAACTATTTTACAGTTTTTCTTGTACAGAGTCCTTGGCTGTTAGCCCAAGGTTAAAAAGTTCCTAACAGATTTTTTTGGACTGTTTTGTTGGGCAGTGCCTGATAAGCTTCAAAGCTGCTTTATTCAATAAAAAAAGAAATGAAAAAGATATATGAATATGACAAAGTATTGCTGAGTCCAACAATGTTGATTTCAGACTCAAAATACGGTACCTGGCAATGTTTATTTCATAAAGAATTGTGAACTTCTTGAATCTAGGGAGGGGGATGTAGTGAAGGGATGTATCAGGTGGGGTGGTGGGAGGGGAGGCAAAGTTGTATGCACTTTCTCTTTCTCATGATTTAGAGAGATGAATAACTGCAAAGTGAAGTTGCTTCTTCTACTTCAGTCTTTTCTCACTTTGATTTGCTAGTTGTTATCAATTAATTAATGACAATTACAAATCTACTGTAACTCTAACACAGTGTGGCTGGTCAGGTATATCAGTTCTTATGAAGGAAATGCCGAGTTTGTTTAGAACACTGGTTTAAAGGGATAATCTCTGTCACGTTAGACTCCATTACGACCAGCAGATACTCATCTTAGGAAAAGCATGATCTGAAATAATACTTTTAGTGGGATGTTGGTTACTTTCCTAGCTTTCCATTTGGTTTAGAACATAAAGCAAATAGACACAATCATACTGTCACTGCTCTGGGCTGTGGAGCTTGCTCACATCATGGCCATTGCAGGAACCCAAGGCAGTCCTTATTCATCCAAATCACTGTATGTGCTTCACCACGGAGAAAAGGAAGCATAATCTTTCCAGTTTAGGGCAAGAGAGAGCAGCGTCTCTCCCTGATTTAGATAGGCAAAAGCTGGTATGTTCAGTAGGAGCTGTACATGTGTTGGAATAAAGACTAATGAGTGACCCTAATCATGCTCACTACCCTAGCAGGTTAAATAAAATCCTGCAATTTTAAATTTCCCTTTCTCCATATTAGATGTACCCACAGCTATGTTTCTGTTCAAGTACTAGGGTGAGGGTTTTCTGTTACTTTGTTTTTTAATGTTGTTCCTTTTGAAAGGATCAGTCTTGCAGCTGAGTGAATCATCTGTAGAATGTATTATTATTTTTCCTCTTTACATGAAGTTACTCATACTTAAGCAAAAGTCAGTCTTACAGCAAGACAGTCCTCAAACTTGACTTTCCTGATCTGACCATCTCCCTCTCATCGCCAGACAACTGACGATTTCCCTGGTTTTAGTCTGTGTCTCTGCTCTAAAATTATTGTGGTGATACCCTTCCAGATCACACAGAAGTCTAACAGTTAATTAGTGGATAGTTTTTAAACTAGGTTTGTGGGTATTTTTTTTGGGGGGGGGTAGCAAATGTATGCTATTACATACAAATAAGTTTTCTAAAATACAAGATCTGGGATTGAATATTTTTATTAAAAGCTACAGTTTTGTGAATGTTTTTGCGTCAACATTCTTTGCAAGAGGACATGGTATTTAGGCAGTTGCCTTATTTTTGCATCTCACAAACGTAAGTGCAATAGATCTTTCATTGAACAGCAAAGTAGGATCCATCATTCCATACGACTGAGTTACACCAGACCTAGTCTGCCCAATGCCTTGGTTGCAGCGTAGCTTGCCCACAGCATTTGTCATTTTAGATATTTGGCCAGCCGGGCACTCTGGGTTTTATCAGACAGCCTCCTAACAACACCGTATGAACGGCTGAGTATGAATAGACACAGCAGAGGCACTCCTGATACGTGATTTTATCCATGCATCAGTTTTTCCACCCAGTGTAGCATCCTGAAGATAAAGCCAGAAGCTAAGCTGCAGTGAGGCTGTGATAGGGCATAGAAGTGGGAGCATTGGAACCTCACGTTACATACACGAGATCATAACCACGTGAAAAGGCAAAAAGCATGTGTTTGCAACATCTGACAACTTCACGGCCTTTGATATATGTATATATGTATATGTGCATGGACTGTGTTTCCAGTACACCTTTCAGCCAAAACAGATCCACAGTAGTTGAGTTCAAGTACATAACAAGCAAATGTCTAGTACAATTCTTATATATGTGTATGGGCTTTTTTCCCTTTGAAGTTGCTTTGTTTTGTCTTACAAAGATGAAAATTGTTTGCAAGTGAAGTGAGAAGTTTGTATTTCTTTGGCTTTTTTGTGTTTTTAAAAGCTACGCCTTTTAGGGAGCTGGTCTGGATGACTTGCTTAGCTTGGAAATCCTTGTTCTTAGTGTGTCGAGTCAAAATGTGTTTATGTGAGCTGTCACTGTGGGGAACCAATTGCTTTGTCATATAACTGGTTATGAACTGGTAACATGTTTGGGAAGTCCTACTGATGTTCCTCTGAAAGAAAAGTTCTGCTGGTTTTAACAACTGTGCTTTTGCTATGCATGGTATCCAGGTTAGTTAAAAAGCAGACCCTGAGATCTGTTTTCAGTTTAGAGTCATTTCAGAAAGGGGCAGTTTAAAGCACAATGTCTCACATGGGACAAAGTTCCAAAATGCTAAATTCTTATTTTTTAAAAATCTAGTTCTATAAAATATTGGTATTATGGGTGGGGAGGAAATGGAATTGAGTCAATTAGAATGACTATCCAACTTAACATGAAACTTGTCACCATGAGATAGCATTAGCTGCCCAGGATGCTGCTATATATATATATATATACATATATATATATATATTAAAAAAAAAAGCAAAACAAAAAAACTCATTTATACCTGTGTATTTTTTAAAGCTACAATCTGTTCAATGTTTTTACAAATCTGTTTATATGACATTGTTAAAATAAAGTTGGTCTTTTGACGAGAGGGAGGATGTCATGGTCAGTTGTAATTTTGCCTTCACAAGGCAACTGGGGTGGGGGGTGGGGGGTAGTGTGCCTCCTTGACATTTTGTTCAAGTTATAGATTCAATGGAGCTACGTCTTGTTTTCAGTTGCTTTAATGCATTGTATTAGATCTTCAAACAGAATAAAGGTTGTTTTGAAACTTAACTTTTGGGTTGAAATTTCACCTGTCACCTAAGAAATCTTTCTAAAACAGTTCTCCATCTTTTGGCTTATAAATGTTGCTGCTATTTCTATTGTCTCCTACCCACCCTCTTTGATTGCTATTACAGCATTTCATTTTTTGTAAAGTGAAAAGGACATTGGTCACATATAAGTAACATTGACCTGTTGTTCATAATTTCACCATCTTAAATGAGGAAATACCTCTGGGTGATGTCCTTTCAAAGCATGTTCTTGCTATAGGAAAACAAGAATGCCCATCATCCCTCAATTCTTCTCCCCTCCTCCGCATTCATCCCTAAACCTTGAGAATCATCAAATTGTGACTGTTGTGCAGTCTGCATATTTTGAACACTCAGAACAGGGACGGTAAGTAGAGGAATGATACGGGGCTGTAGACAGGGAGCTAAGCTACAGTGAGGGCCTAGACCTGAAGACACGGTCTGGTAACAGAGGGGAGAGGGACGTCAAATAATTACTGTCAGGGCAATAATCACTAATATTTTTCAGTATGGCGGTAGCTCCAAGACTGATTTTCTGCTTTCCACTCGCTCTGTTTGGTACCACCACAGAGAACTATATTCCCTGGATCTTTTGCCCTTGGCTTAGGTGTCTCACCCTAGGCTCTTGCTCCTGCCAGACAGACCCTCATTTTCAAATCTGTGCAAACCCCCTCTGTTTGAGCTCTCAGGAGAAGGCTCTAGAAACATTGCTTCCTCCCATTTTTACTGTAGCCCAAAAAGCGGTTGCAACTTTATGCTGTTGCTAAATCTCTGGATTCCCTCGCCCCCATTTGGTTTCTGAGCCCTTCCCTCCCCCAAGTAATCATTCTTATCATTTAATTATTCCTGTAAAAGCTAGGGTAATGTTTCTCCATCACCACCACCCCCCGCCCCCCCTCCAACTGGTCTCTGACATATCAAGGGATTATTGTCTATTAAACTCTTTATATGTCCTACTCTTTCCACAATTATGCAGGTAAGACAATGATATTCCCATTATTTACATGAGAAAACAAGCATAGCTGTGAAAAGACTTGCTCAAGATCATGCAGCATATGACAGCAGAACTGAACCCATAGGCTTCTCACTCAAGCCAGAGCTCTTTGCCCCTGTGCTGGCATGTAACAGCTTTTCAATGGAAAATGCACAAGAGAATGCAAAGAAAAAGTTCACTGGTAACTTTTTGCTGGGGAGGTAACCATGTGGCTTTCAATTAGTAGACAATGCACAAGTGGCCAATGATGAATGGCAGGAAATAGCCTGGGCTTGCTTTAAACCAGTGGTTCCCAAAATGTGGTTCTCAGGCTAACAGCATTCACATTAGCATCACCTGGAAACCTGTTAGAAATACAAATTCACAGGCCCTACCCCTGACCTACTAACTCTGAGACTGGAGCCCAGCAATCTGTTTCAACAAGTGCTCTGAGTGATTTTAATGTATACTAAAGTTTGAAGATCACGACTTTAGATCACCTGCTTACTGAAACACTACTTCTAGTATTTTAACTAAAAACCATTACCATTAATGAGTGGAGTGATAGGTTACTTTATAATTTATGTTCACCATATAGACCACAGAAAAAATAAAGTAGATTGATTTGCCGTTTAGGAGACCCAGCCTGGTCTTTTTATCTGTCTTTAAACAGCTGTGGGAACTGGGCCAATTCAAGGCACCTTCCAGGCCTCCAACTTCTTATCTGTGACATAAAGGTCTGGGCCTCTGGGACTCTTCTAGAGCATGTGCTGTGATTACGTAAGCTGAATGAAGCTTCTCAGTCCCTCAATTCCTCATTTACAACTTGACCACCAATTTTAACCCACAACTGCTGGTCCTGTATGTTGCCAGTGACTAGGGCCAAGTGAAAGCATGCCCAGAATTGGGGTATGCTTTTGTTGCTGACATCTTCAATGTGATACTTGAGGTGAATCTAAATTGGCAGCCAAGTTCTCAACTGTGGAAAGGAGTGTATTTGGAAATGACACTCTGTCCATCTACCTAGAGCATGAAGCGCTAAGAGATTGTGGCCTACCAAACACTCTGAGGCACGGTGGGAAGCAGAGACATAGAGAATTTAAGAAATCTCTTTTTTCCAAACTTGTCCCTTAAAAACTCTTTAAAAATACAAATCAGTTGCAATATCTTAAATAGATAGAATTGATTGTTCACTATCCAAACTTCAGATTATCTTCTCAAAAGATAGCACTCTCTGTAACCTCCAGTTTGGAACTGATGTCATAAATCAACTCAACAGAAAACCGCTGAGATGCTTTGGGGGAGGGGGTGTGTGGAGGATAAATGAGTAATCACCAACATGCTAATCTGCATTTTGCTTTCCAGAAGGAAATGAGAAATTCCCTTCTCTCTGTAGCACTCAATCATAACAGCATGACCTCAGGCTTAACTTGTTAAGTAAAATATTCTAAATCTATACCTGTCCTGACAGGTGTAAAGGTTTGGCCTATAATATGAGAACAGGAGAGTCAACCTCTAACCACCACCACTAATCACATTAGGAAGAAAGTTACAAGAGAGTTCTGTTCATCACCGCGACTGCTCATTAGAATTATACTTGTGACTGTAAAATATACCATACGTTGTACGACCAGCTCACTGGAACCAATTTATTTATGGAGCCCTCATTTCAGAGCTCCACGATTTATAGTCCAGCCCTCACAAACTAAAAAATATGGATAACTTCATCACAATGGAGACGATGTGCTGATCACTTTATGCCAAATTTACTGTCCTCTAACAGAGGCCCAGTGCCATATAACTTAAAACTATTTAAAATAGTTTTGTTGATAGTGGTGATGATCTGTTTCTTTGGACCTGCAAGGATAAGACATCCGAAGAAATGTCTAACATATTTAGAGCTTGATTGAGTACCTACTATTTGCCGGACACTGTATTTCCCTCTGTAGGTCCAGTGATGAGACAGGTGAAATCAAAGATTACAGTCTGCTGGTGAAACCAACTCAAACAACTGCCCTCTATCATAAGAGATAGAGAGGAATGAACACTGAGTCTCATGTAGGCCTGCGTGAGGAGCTACGCAAAGCTTCAGAGAGCAGCTGACCTTTCCCATGCTTCCCAGTCTAGAAAAACAGGCCCATATACTCCTGGTGGTTGCTCCTCCCACCAGCCTTCATGGAAGCTGGTTCTATTGAGACTAGACCATTGTACTTCTTTAATATAATCACTTTTCAGGTGACACATTTGGTTTTTCAATACTGTCAAAGGCAGTAGCTCCATTGTAAGTTCTCTGGAGTTGAATGTTCCCATGCTGCAGGTGGATCAGACAGCTGACATCACACACCTCAGCTTCAGGCATGCCACTTTTCTCCCTGGCCAGGGACAGATGCCAGGGCTTCACCTGGCTCTTTGCCTTGGCACATTAGATGTGATCTGCATGCAACTGTGCCTTTTCCTTTTATTTTAGATGAGAAATTCTCAACCCTAGCTGAACATTAGAATCACCTGGGTATCAATTTAATAGAAAACCTGACTTATTGGAGTCTCTAGGGGTGAGGATTAAATAAAATGCACAGAATGCACTTGCAACACGGCTGGCATTTAATAAATGGGAAGCAATATATATGGCTGTTAGTAAGTCTTGCCTCTTAAGGTTAGATTCCCCAAAACTATCGCTTTCAATTTACTGTAGTTCTTAGTATAGGGCTGGCTGGACATATGGTAAACCACCCAAAATCTATTAAGATATTTCTATTTATTCATATCTGTACCTACTTCCAGAAAGTATTTACATTTTATTGGCTCTTAGGTACACAGCATTGATTTACTCATCAACCAATGGACTAAAAATCACGCATGGCTGGCTGTTCTATTATTCTGAAATATCATATAGCATTAAATACAAGTATGACAAAATAAAAAAGTAACCCCCGTAAAATAGACAAAAAACAAGTATAAAGGAAGAAAGGAAGGGAGATATTATTGAAAATAAAAACAAATTGTGTCTAAGGAAACTTCCAATAATTGAAGGAGAACAAAGCTTCCTATTAGCCAGGCAAAAAATGAGCCACACAATGGTTTCATAGTTCCAGTGCTCTAGGAGGAGGAACTTGTCAGTTCAGTGTGAACTAAACGATCCTCTTGCCCTGACAGTTGAGAGGAATCTGTAAAGGGACCTCTGTAAGTGGTAGTGCCTCTTACACAATGTTCAAATAGAAATGGTTCTTCAGTTATATTCTCCATATGGCACTTTCTTATTCAGTCCGTGGCAGAAACAGAATATTGTTCTAGAAAGGAGGTTCTGTGGCTTTGGCTCCAGAACTCTGCTCGAGGTGCATTTCGTCTGTTTCCCAGCACTCTTTGGGCTGCACCCACTTCAATACGCCTAAGAAAGCTGCCCTGCAAGTTGTACAGAAGGAAAGGCCAACAAAATCAGGGCCGCTGCTTATTTGCTAGACTGTTCCAGGCCAGCACCTCAGTGGTGACTCTGTTTTCGGGAAGTCCTTGTGACATCTCAGGCAGTGCCAAGTCTCCAAGCTGTGGGGGACTGAACACTCTCTTAGCCAGACAGCAGCTATGTCTGGTCTAGAGCCCAGCATCATGTGGCACTATGTTTCGTTCATCATTTTCCCCACAGAATATACTAGTTCTAGTTCATTTTACTATTTTTAAAATTTTATCTCCCAAAGATAGATTCCAATGATACATTTTAATAACATCCCATGAAACTGGAAGTTCAAGTTTTCTGGCTTTTTCCCAAGAAGAAGTGTTATAAATATATGGAACTTTTGAGGAATTTCTGCAAAAGTCTGTAATCACAGCAGAATGCAAGAAGTTTTAACCAGCCTATAATATATAAGGGAAAGTAGCTCTGACAGGTGGCTGTAAATTATTAGCAGAACTGCACAGTGTATTCTCCTACATCTCCTTAGTTTAGAGAAATTGAGGCTAGGGCTAAGGGTGAGCCAGCAAGGGCACACTGGAAAACGTTCAATCATTAGCTCTTCTGC